GGTGGTAGAGTCACTGTGGGTCTTACGTCCCTTTCAGAGCAGTGGTTTAAGAATCTCTTCACCCTTGGCTGAATGAGAAGAGGCTGAGATTGGGAAAAGCATAATGAACTATCCAACTGCTGAGATGGGTTCAAAACGCGTGGCCAGGTCAGCTTTCTAGATGTTTCTGCTAACCACAGTTCTAAGGGCTCAAATCTCCCAAATCCCTCAAAATCCCACCTCATGATAGGATACTTCCTGCTCTAAACTGGGTACCAAAAGCCATCTCCTGTTGGGCTTGCACAGATGTTCTCTCAAGTAGGGTTTGCAGTAGCTTTAGGGGTCCCTTCTGGGGAAAAAGGCAGAAAAAAACCCAAAGTGAGATGTTGCATCCAATCTAGTTGTTTGGAAAGACAGGGAGGATGGATGCTGGGTTTTAGTATCAGCCCTGGACTGCTCTTTTCCCTTACCCGTTAGATAAAGACAACATTGGAGCCAATGCAATAAACATTCAGGATATGGCCCGTCACAACAGGACAGGATCAACTGAAAGGCATTGAATTCCAGGTCAAGAGGCCAAATCCATAAATAGAGGAGAGGTGAACTCCACACATGCATGTCTCAGTGGAGCACAAACAGTAGCTTTGGTTATTAGAGAAGGTTGACCTCATTTTCTGGAGTTGGTTTTTCACCCTTGGATCTTTCTCAGGAAGACTGAGTCCATCTCTTGCATCTGGTTATTTTATTGATCTTCTATTTGGAGTTTCCTCACATTGAGAGGCAGATTCTTCCCCCAGTTTCAGGAACTTCCTCCTTGACTTGTGCCTCCTGATCCAGCCATCCAGCCTTTCACAACTACATGTGCCTGGGCTGCCATCTGCTTTTCACTTCCTCATGGCTTGGAAAGCAAGTGTGATTGGAAGCCCTGTCTGGGTAATAAGCTTGCATTCACTTCCTTCCATCCTGGGAGCTGAGTGGTGGAAAAACAAAAGAGAAGAGACTAACCCATGATCCAGCATTGGGTGAATAAAATCGGGCTCTATGGCTGTTCAGAAGTTCAACAAGGTCAAGAGCAAAGTCTTGCACACGGATTGGGGTGATCCCGAGCACAGACACAGGCTGGGCAGAG